CGTATAAGACGGTCTAGTGGCCTAGCTAGATAGTTTCAAGAGGGACCAAGTCCAATGATTGACTTGATTCATAGCTGCGAGCTATAATAACCGCAGCATTGTTAGATGCTGACGCGTTCTACATTACTAATAGCTTGGCTGTCGGCAATAAGCTTTTCTGTTTTAGGAAGCAGAGTATCCTCCGGCACAAATTACACCTGCAAATTTAGACAAATCCGCGCAAGTGGATATCCAAGACCTGATAGCACAGACCTCTAATGCAACAGAAATACAGTTCAAGTCAAAAAGTCGCCGAAACAGCATGCTGGCCCTCAACCAACCCCTGCCCTCTCAAAGAGCATTATCAAAGCCACCCTAGTCCACAGACTCATATCGTAATCCAACGAAACCAAAATCCTGGTCCATCTGAACCGTAGTTTCCCAGCGATCAGACCAACATCATATCAAGTACCTGTAGCCACCAATGCAGACTGTAGGTTTCCCGCCGCTGTCACTACATGTAAATGAGAAGGACACCGCTGTCAAGATGACCAAGTGGCAAAAGTTTAATAGATCACAAGGTAATCGGGTTCAAACGAATCCGCAAACACCCACGTAACTGGCGTGCCGAGGAGGTGTAGCCTTGTCTGCTCGTGACATGACCCGAAATCACAAGCCACCGAAAGCATTCCAACCCGATGCCAAGGACCAAAGTCCCCGGATCTCGACAGCACGTCAAATAAGCTTTGCGGGGGAAAACGGACACGTGTCATATGATTCGCATGCCTGAGTAGTCAACTTTGGATGAAGCCCCCTGGTAGATCGCGATCCCGGTAAAGGGGACACTACCCTAAATACTAGACGCGTCATCCACATCCGGAAAACCATTTCACGTTTCAGCTACTTTTGTACCCGTCCACAGACGTATCTGAACAAAGTGGCACATCTACAGTCTCCAGAACCAAGCTTCTTGGCACTAAAATGCGCCGTTGTAACGCTCCGCATGTGCCGGCCCTCTAAGTATGCTGACCAGGAACAGGCATCTTGTGCCTAACGCTCTCGGCTCCCAGAAACCACGAGATGGAAATAATGGAGAGAAAAACGGCCATCTGTAGCAACTCCGCTCTAAAGTAGGATCGCCTTGGCGGCGCTACCCGTTGCCCTATTCGCGAAATGAACAAAAGTTGGGCTATTTCATGGACAGCTGTGCAGATCCTCATGTGTGTGTTCTGCAAGCGGTACGGGCGGCGCCTGCTTTGACCGCCGAGTCATCAGACCACGGGCAAGGTAGCAATAGCATTTCAACGGCCTGTCACAGTTTCAGTTGTGTTTGGTTGCAAATAGCGAGCGCAAACACGGTGACATGGGCGAGTTGCATTCAAGTCCACACTAGGCAATAATGAAAGATGGTAGAACATAGGATGGGCCGTAGTAATGGAGGGGACTTTGAGCTGTGTCATGTGCTCCCTTTCCCGACTTAGACCAATGCTAGGTGGTAGTGTTCGTTGCAACCACTTTCCCGCATATGCATCGGACCCGGAAAGCTGGCTTTGTCTCCGCCGGGGAACTGTGATGGCACATGGGAAATATCCAGCGGCTGCAATGATGAAATTGGGACTTGCGGAGTGCAGACGTACTTATTGAAAAAGCCCGAGGCGTACAATCGCATACCATCCGTCATCCTAGCAACCACATGCCTGCCGATGAATCCTGACTGGGCACGGAATGGCAATTAGAACGGTTGCTTGACATGCCACGGACACTAAGGAACCTAGGAAATTTTTCATTGGGACGTCTCCGGTGAATGCTACTTATAGTATATTGACAGGCTACATCGGGCGTGATACTACCAAACAGGGTTCGCTATGGGCAGACGGGATTTTGTCCAAAACTCGGTTGCCGTCTGTGTGGGAATTAACCCGGGAGTCAAGTCCCTTGTGGGCGCAAATGCTTTCCCTCGATGCTTCTTGGATCCGCTCTGCACATGCGCATCTTGACCGACCGGATGTTTATCCTACTCTGCAGATGGGCATGCTAGCCAATCGCGACTCAAATCCCGTTAGCACGGCCCGGAGATTGCCAGGGTGTCCTGGTTACAATGGAGCTCAACGCGCCATCCTGACCGCCATGGACACTTCCGCTTCGCCCCGAGACGGAGCGGAAAGCACTTGGTCTGGGGAAATCTGCCCCATTGCCTTGGCATTTGGTCGCGATTCGACTTGGACCCGTTTGATACGAGGGACAGTGAGCAGATGCATGGGCCGAACCGTTTGAAATTACTAGATGGGTATGTACCTACCAGCCCCTGCTTGTCGCGACGTTAAATATGGTACGACATCACGTACTGCGTATTGTATGTCCTTGGGACCCACGGTTGTCCACCAGCCAGCCGTGTTCGTTAAAAGGACACGGGATCAAGTCTTCACCATGTCTTGTTCTTGCCCCCTCTTTCCCTCCACTCTCACGGCAGTTGGATTTTAAAATTATCCGGATGCAATTGTAGCGGTAGCCTTTCTTTCACATGGACCCAAGACACGAGTACTACTAGTATTTTAGCAAGAGTGCAACACTCGCTCGAGCCCGACTCTCCCGTGCCTCGGCCAGGCCCCACATGACGGCTTTATCCATGCAATGTGGGGGGTGGGTAAGGTTTGTGGTTGGGTGAATTGTCGACATGGCGCTCTCAAGCCTTGCCAAATTAGTCTTGGGACAATTTGCGGGGGTGGATCCCCTGGCTTCCGGTTTGTCCATCCGGCGCGACCTGATGCCACCATGGGGCCCCTTGGCCCGGCCATGTAAAGGACAAGATCCCTTTCCCACGGGAACCAGGCGAGTCGACACGACAATGGCATATACTCGGGCTTCCGCCGAGTCTCCTTTATTGTGAGAAACATCCCAAGGACCGGTGAGCGTGGGAAAAGAATCCGGACGTATATTCGCCGCATGGGAGCAACGGGAAGTGGTTGGCATGTCTGGGCGATTGAGGGAGAGGAGCACCGAGAACTCACCAACGGGAACAAACCGGACTGCGCGACAAATCTGCTTCTGATACTTGCGACGTCGTGCTCGGACCGCCGGGATGAAGCCACGAGTTTCGCCATTCATTTTCGCCATTGCGAGTGTCGTCCAACTTTGCAGAGGCACAACCTTGGACTCATCAACACCTTCGGCCACCACATCGTCCACAGCCGTACTGCTTAGTTCCACCTCATATCCAAGCGACCTGAGTGCGTATGTCGAGGGTTTGCCTTCTTGTGCTGTAAGCATATCCAATGGCGCATAACTCATGGCCACAAATTACAATGTGTATGCGACTCGGCAAACGGCTTACTGACAACGTGTACGCACAGGCTCCCTGCGTGGCGGCATCTTTGACCAAGGCAGAATGTCGCGATACGTCATGTCTCTGTGCAGATCAAACCATCCTGAATGGTGCAGCCAAATGTGTCAGAACTTTCTGTGATTTTGGACAACAATTAGGTAAAGCCTCACCAAAGCAGTTTGCCTCCGTCTCCCGAGATAATTTAGCTGACAAGGCCCGCCCTTGGCTATAGCTACCAAAAACTCGACCGAAACAGCATGCAACCGCAAACCTCGAGATCGGTCCGGCCAGTACAATGCCACAAGCATAGCCATGTGTTCTGTGACGGGCCTCCTCGTGCTAGCTCGGCTGGTATTCAAACAGTACTTCAGCTACCAACGGACCTTGAAGACAGACGACTGGGTCATCATCGTGTCGGTCCTCGTCGGACTGCCGTGCACGATTCTAAACACGACTGGACTTACGCATTACGGCCTGGGCAAGGACGTCTGGACAATGCAGCCCGCGACAATCGCCGAGTTTGCGCGGTATTTCTACATACAGCAGATTTTGTACATTTTCCTCATCACGAGCATCAAGATTAGTCTGTTGTGCTTCTATCTCACGATATTCCCTGGCAGGACCACCAGACTCTTGTTGTGGATTACTGTTGCTTTCAGCGCCTCATTTGGCGTCGTGTCCACCATTGTTTCTATATTTCAATGCACGCCGATCCGGTTTTATTGGATGCAGTATGTGCAGGAGGAAGATGGGAAATGCCTCAATATCAACTTACTCGGATGGATCAACGGCGCCGTCAGCGTCGGCATCGACGTGTGGATGATTGGCATCCCGCTGTCTCAGATTAAAAAGTTGGAACTACACTGGAAGAAGAAGATTGGAGCTGCAATCATGTTCCTGACGGGAACTTTGTAAGTAATGACCCTTGCAAATGTGCCACCTGAGCCTGGGAGATGTGTGGCTTGAGTTTGTAATTGCAGTTGGTTGTCCTGGAGACGCAGACGCTGACTGTCTTGCAGTGTAACAGTTGTGTCCATCCTGCGACTGCAGTCGCTTCTTTATTTCTATAGTTCGGAAAATCCCACCTGGGATCTGTGGCATACAGCGTGGTGGTCGACTATTGAGATCAACATCGGCCTCATATGTGCCTGTCTTCCAACAGTCCGACTGATACTGGTCCGCATGTGTCCGCGGGTATTTGGGAGTACGATCAACTCGACAATGGCGAGATCCAGGGCGTCTAGGGGGAATAGCATGCTGGTGCGGAGGCAGCAGGTCCGGATTGTTAGCCTCGATATTCAACTGGAGAATGCGTCATCCACAAAGATAAAGGAGGAACAGTGGGAGGCATCTCTGACGGCGCCAGAGGAGCAACCGGACGAAAACTTCTACCATGCCAAGTAGAGAGGGATACGGGATGACGACGTGGCATTGCATTGGATGGTGCAAGCCGAGATCAGCCGAGATCGATTGTCTATTTCTTGAGCGTGATATTTTGAGACGGGGTTGATACCAAAAAAGTTGAACGTTTTACAGACATGTAACTTCTAGTCAAATACTATGCCTTTTCATGAACCAGAAATGGGCGCGCAGTCTCGCTATGCCGCAAAGTACTCTGCTAATTAAGCGAATGAAACCAGGAGCGAGGCCGAGTACTTTGAGCAGCATTAGCGAACAGGCGGTCGCAACTAGGTTGATGATGTTCGACTGGGTTGGCATGGTGCTCTGCACAGCCAGTGCAAGCAGCTTCTTGATCGGCATCACCTGGGGCGGCGCGCAATTCCCATGGAGCAGCTGGCATACCTTGGTTCCCATCATTGTCGGCGCAGTCGACCTAGTTGCTGCTGGGCTGTGGGAGGTATATGGCACTGAACGCTCGTTTGTTCGCGTGTCCTTGCTAAATAGCTGCCCACAACTCGCGGCATATATCTGCGCCATTCTCCAGGGCATCATGGTGAGTAAGCTCCAACTGTGTCAGCGTGTCTGGTTTGATGTAGTCTGGTGAGCTGAACCATTGACTTTTTCCCCGTCAGCTCTTTTGCACGCTCTACTATCTGCCCATCTTCTACGAAGGAGTCAAGGATTACACCCCAACAGTAGCTGGTATCGGCCTTATTCCCATGACCGGTTCTCTTTTGCCGATTGGCATCCTTGTCGGAATCATCATTAGGCGTACAGGACATTTCCGATGGGCCATTTGGTTGGGTTGGCTGATTTCCATCCTATCATCCGGACTGCTGATTCTCTTCAATTCCGACACGCGCGTTTACGCCTGGGTACTGATTCTCATCGTGGTCGGCCTGGGCCATGGCCTGATACTAATTGCCTTGAACATTTGCACTCAAGCTTTGGCAGATCGGGCCGACGTCGGATACGCCGCCGCCATGTACACATTCATGAGAAGTATTGGCATGTGTATTGGAGTTTCGGTCTCGGGCACCATCTTGCAGAATACTCTTCAAACTTACATGAAGGATCAGAACCTAGACGCATCCATGGCTGGGGCCGTTGTTGGCATCATCAGCCAGCTCCAAGACTTGCCTACGACTATGCGTAAACCCATTGCCATTGCCATAGGTAAAAGCTGTGACAACGTCGCCGAGTTCTTGCTTGGCGTTGCCACGCTGGCTCTCTTGGTATATTTACTCATCAAGGAAAGCTCGCTCGACAAGGAATTCAAGCCTGACCACGTCCTGGAGGGGTCGGCGGATAAGAAACGGGCCATCTAAGAACAATACTTGATGGTGGAACTATTTTTGATGTAATGTTGGGCTGGACATGATCATCCGGTATGGAATTGGGGGCTTGGGATCGAGTATTGTGGCTGCAGTTCGGCAGCAAGCTCTTTTTTGGGCAGAGGGCCTCCCTCGAACACCCCGAGTCCAAAATGTAACTTATTAGTGTCTGGTGTTTTGCATGCCACAAGATTGGACGGCTACAATGGATGTTGACTCTGATCCACTTCTGGACTAAAGGTGTTCATACTACACGGCCTGTTATTTACCTTTGCATAATTCTCAATATTTTCCGTCGGTTATATAAGAAGTTTGCTCACATATTCGACTTGCTCATATGCATAAACACATTCTCAGGATGGTAAAGCTGGAGTTCTGAGTTGCCACGTGATACTATCCACATATATGCATAAGTATGCATATGCGAGGCTTCTATTCATATTCATATGTATGTATGTATGTGTGACTGTCAACGAACCCAATTATGCTGATACTGCCAACAAAGGCGTTGGGCCAACAACCGTTACACAACAACAAAGAAGGCATCGCAAGGCCCCGAGACCGGACCTAAGCGAGGGCTGCCTCAGGCCTCGAACACACGCCGACTTCTTGTATTTATAGAGACCCTCAGTCCTTTAAGGCCTCTTAGAAAACCAAGGACCTTTGATACCTTAAAGCCGTTTATTGAGTTTGAATTGAATCACTGTTCCAAGCCCGGTCCGCCTGCCCTTGTCACAACTCCATACTACAAGCCGTTTATGGCAATGGTCAATAGATTGAGGCGGAAGGTATTTCCTAGTGGAGAGAGGAGGCAGAGACCAAACCTTGATCTATACGACTGGGTGAAAGGCAACCTTATTGAAGCTCAGAAAGATCAAGCATAGAAAGTCATCCCAAGTTGGTCGCTTTCTCCAAGCACCCGCTCTCTAGTTCTCTACCCCATCAAGTAATAAGTTAAGAGTCAGGGGCTTGACACGCTGAATCATATAAATGCAAAAGTCCGTGCCGGCGGTGCATACCTCACTCTTGAGCTTATCTAGATGTCATAATTATTCCCCAGAGCACAGCGCTGACTCAAATTACCAATGATGACGCTGCCGAAGCCAGAGCTTTAGGAAACGATTTCTCTAGAGCCGGCAAGCTCTTTGCGGGTAAACTATCCCCCACGCCCATAGCCAAAGCCAACACCACTGCCAACGCATCCACCTGCCGTAGGCCAGTCTTCACAGGCTTATAATGTCGATGGTGACTACACGCGTCATTCTTGTTACACGGAAGTCACGTTGTATCTAGAGGCACGGGCCGAACCTTGAACCCGACGATAGTTACACAAGGGCTCGAGACCTAGTTGGGGCCTCAGGCTTCGAGGCTCGCTTGCTCACCGCCGCTTGGTATAAATAAGGGTCATTTGTCCTTCAAGGCCTTAAGGAAAACCAAGGACCTTTGATACTAAAGCAAGTTATTAGCTGAATCGAATTGTTCCAAGCCCTACACCACTAGCCCTTGTCACAATTCTAGCGTGGTCACGGCGCCAGTAGATATGATGGCGACCAGGCCAGCGTTCAGCAGGATACAAATATCAACCAAGTTTTGAAGGAACTACATTGGCGGTTAAGTATTGTCTTGATTTAAATTTAGTCCGGCTGCAACATTCCAACGACGGGGGAAGTTGCCCGTGCGACCCCAGCTGAGGCCCAGACCATTATCTTCGCACCCCCTTGTCGGAAGGCACGAGACAACCTGCAGGGAGGCACAGAGGGAGTATTCAAGATGGTAGACTTGCGCATCTCTGGCCGGAACAAATCTGGTCAGGTATTTATTCGCTCCATTTATTATTTTGGTGGACACATGGCAATTCCGAGGGAACACCGTAGCCTCAAGAAGCCAACACATGGCCAAGGAATGTGCGGTACCTGTGTTATATCTTTGACCCGAGAAACGTCGGGTTTGCTACTACCGCATTCTCGGAGGGTTGGTTATTTGACGTCCTGTCAGTGACTGGCTCACGCTCCCCATTTCAGGTTGAAACACGTCAAGTTGGAAATTGCTGAATCAATTTTTTTGTAGATGTTTGACAAATTTCAACTAAGCACAGTGCCACAAAAAAGTATACCGCTACGCGCGAAAAGTGAAGCTCCACACTAGAGAGTGAATTATTTGTGGCATCATATATGTGCGACACATTACATCCTTGAACTTGGCAAGGAAAACGGCAACTTTATGCATCTCCAAAACGCAATAAATCGACCAGACAACAGGGGTCTCACTCCATTGGCCTTGGCCAAAACAATGGCCATGGCGGTGTGGCACAGCAACTTCTTCGCAAGCTGGAAGAAGTTTCAGGAATGTAACCCTAACCCTAACCATTGAAGTGCGCTTCTTTTCATCTTGTGGCCGACTGTAGTCATGCCGGTGTGTTACAAGCTCTTCATAAATGGCAATGTGATACGATGGAGTGTATGAAACCAGAGCGTCATCAAAGCTGAAGGAACCTCGGGTGACCAAGATTGTCATCTCTCTTTATGCTTTGCATTCTTTACAACTACTAGGTTTTGGTGGGATCAAGTTAGCTACAGGACAATATATAGATTGAATAGGAACTTTAAGTAACCCTGCTTAAAACTTGATTCGATGCGGAGCTGAAAAAAAGGCTATGCCCTGGCTAAACTTTGCGGCAGCAACTGAAACTATAAGATTTAGTGCCGGGCCTTTCAAAAGCTTTCAACCTTGGTGAAAGGGTGAGTGCCAAGAACAGCAGCTAGAGCGGCTTTAAACTTGCCATCAGGCAGGTGTCATAAGGAACAATATGGACAGCCATGTTGGGCCATGGGACTCATCAAATTTAACACCGTTCCAATCAATCCAACTCTACCAGAAGCTTTCCAATTCCAACAGTTTCATCCAAGGCATTCCCACCAGACGTCACTGCGGCCTACAGGTGCAGCGATTACGACTAAACAGTCGTTTCTTTCCGCAGCCGTGGTGTGGGCAGGACCGGTCGACGCGCAAGGTATTGGGCTCGGGGATACATGTCCTGTTCGTAGACTCTGCCGGTGGCATACGCGGCTCATCAATGTCCGCATCGTTCGTTTGGCCCTGTGTCTTTGCTTGATATACGGCTCGCTCAAAGGGCTCGTCCTTTGCCCACATCCAGAACCGACACCCGACGCCATCGTTGAGGCGGCATCTCGCGACTGGATACGCATCAACGAAAAATCATTCCATTTACGCGAGATGGGAGGCGACACTTACATTCCCAGCCCGAGCTATGTGGTTGCGTCGATTTGAGCCACTTTGCAGGGTAGCCACAGTGGCAGAACCATTGACCATTGGCGTATTTGGCCATTATGGGTGTAAGTCAGTTTGTAGAAATATAGAGTATGTGTGTCGAGTACAAGAGGTGGCGGATGTCTCTCAGTTGACTTTTTTTAAACGGGCGTCTCCAAGATATTCAATGAACCGAAGCGCCCGCGGTAACCCCTGCAGAGGTGTGATTGAACGGTACATGATCAGCGAGGCTGTCTGTCACCTCGAAAGAGGCGGCTATTTTTAGTCGCAGACCTTTGCATGCTCTATGGAGTAGAGGAGCGCGTCCTAACAACTACTCAAAATCGAATCGGTTGACTGGGCTGACTGAACCAACAGACTTGTCATCAATATTTGCTTCCAGGATCAATCAATATATTGATAACTAGCTGTTGGTCGCATCCCTTGGGGCCCAACCAGCTGGGCAAAGCTGAAAGCCTGCCCGTCGTCCCCATGATACAAGTCGGTTGGCTGAGTTGGCTGTTCCAGCCACCTCCGAATCAAAGCATGACAATTTCTGACCAGGGCCGTCAACAAACCTGGTAATCCAGCTGCGGCCCGGGTTCAGCCCCATTTACGACATCCATTGGATCCTGGATGAGGGCTGTCCTGCGACTGGCGCTTGGAAGCAGTCGAGATAAACGCAGCCGTCGGGCCGCTTCAGCCATAGTTTAATTTTAATTTTATTTTGACAAGCCCTGACACTTGGCTCTCAGGGACAGAATATGTAGGATATGGGCTTGGCAGTCCTCTCTTTCTTCCCCCTCTCCATGTTTTCCTTCTGGCCAAACATGGCCACCTGCGTCGGTTTGAAACACATCCATCCCAGTCCATTCGATGCTCTCACTCAATCGTGCTGCGTACAGATGATTCCCCGGCGCCTACAAGGCGGCGTGCTGTTTTGAGGGATATTAAAATATTTCTCGGCTACTTTGACTGGGGGTTCCGTATCCGTGAATGCGTGTATTTTGTTTCACAATGCTCCGTGGCGCCTAGCTTACCGTCGAATGAATAATCAGGCCCCCAACGGCATTCCAGGTGACCATCCCTTACTTATTCTTTCTTATCTTTCTGCTATTTGCTCATCAGACACCCCGTCTTTGTATTAGATAGTCCTGTGAACCTGGTTCTACCTAATTTAAACTTCCACCAGACTCCGTAAGTTGCAAAGCGGCAGCATATTCTCCAGTAAGCAGTTGGTTCACATGAACACGCATGCGGCTCTTCGACGAGGGACGCCTACAGGAGTTATTTGGTGAGCTGAGCTCTCTGGCGCGCTTAGATGGAGTCAAGCTGGTTACGAAACTCAACGTTGGACCTTCTGTCTCCAATACAGTCGGTGCTTGGCTAGGTTCACAGGTATCAGCAATTTGTCTCTAAAGAGAATCAGGAGCATCTTGCCAATCCTCGTCGTTCAGTTGAACCTGTCCAGTTATGTGATGTGAATTTGAGGCCTGAATGAAGCGATCTCGGCGGCTCCTTGCTAAATCCCGAGCATTTCGAAAAGCAGTGGCTCCGCGCCGAAACGTATGACGACTCCTAGTGTCTGCTGGGCTATGACATGATGAGCATAGTTGAAGCGTGCCGGTAGCGGGATGATGCGTTGAGCTATAGGATACTGTTGAGTATCCGTACTTTGGCTGCATATATTGTAGCGCCGTGCTTCCGTCATATCGAAAGGGTACCCG